TGTCCTAGACAAGCTCATTTTCTCAAAAATTCCAAGAGATTTCAGCCTAATAAGAAAAGTGTTAACATTTTGTTTTTGGTAATTGAGCTATCTTGCTTTATACAGAAAATATAGTGTTAGCATTTTAATGTTTAACAGGAGTTTCTATTAAAAGTTATTTATATTAAAAATGAACTTATATTTTTCAAAATCCAATTATACTATTAATCAGGACTGCACTTATTGTACTCTTTTCTTCCTTATTATGCAGTCCAAGAATGAATTTAACAACCTTCCAAAAGTAATTAATTACGGTTTATTTTTGTAAAGTGCCCAAATGTTCATGAAGTTCTTTCCCACCATCTTACTAAAGGCTATGTCATAACAACCCTGTGAGATAAACACTGTTGTCTTCATTTTACATATGAGAAACCAAAATTCAGAAACTTTTCATTTCAAAACTAAACCAAAGGGAGACTCCGGGTCTTTGACTCCCAATCCAGTGGCCTTTGCACCGTGGACAGCTCACTCACATTAGTTGAGGTCTCAAATAAAAATTGTAGTTCTACTCAGTTTCACAGTGGACATGAGGATGCTTTGGGGACTGTAATGGGCCTGTCATAAATAGAGGAGGCAGTGTTAAGCCTCCCAAAGAGAGAAACCCCCAATGGGTGCACTTTAGGTATCTCAGACATAAAGAAGCTGGAGAGGAAGTAGCAGCCTATCCCACAAACCAAACCTCCAGGTAATAACTGGGCGTTTCACAAAGGAAGAGTCTATAGGTTGAGTATTAGAGCCTTTGAGAATGAGAGATCCTCAGTGGCAGTAGAAAAAAATAATGACCTCATATTCAGGCAGGTTTAATAATGAACTATTTGTCAGATGACAAGTGTGTTGCAGAGGTCTTAATATCTTTGTTGTAATATTCTGCTAAATCTTGGGCTACTTCCTCGGCAACCTTCACATCCTCAATTTTTAAATTATTTTCCCTGCCTGCCAACCTTGAGCAGAGTTCAGCCATTAGTTCACTAAATAGCTTAACTCACCCCCTGCAATGCCTCCCTAGTGCTATCCCTAAGCCCAAGTCTTCCTAGCTGTTACACTTTGATCTGTAATTATCTATACAATGGACTTGACCTATGACTACCCACCAATGGGATGTGCATCAGGATTTTTTCCCCCAAATTCTACATCCACCAGGATCACCCTCCCCAGGAAGATATTAATAAAATCTGGGAGTCTTGAAGGAGGAGATGTAGGAAAGATTGAAGGCCACTCAGGAAGCTGACAAAAGCATAGAAATGAGAGTGAAGGGTATGGGGAGCAGTAAAGAGGCTGACCTCAAGGGTGCAGAGGCTGACATTGATGAGTAATAAAAGGGAAAGAGGCGAACTACCCAAGCTGGGAACTGAGAAAGGGCCTGGGCTTCCAAGAAGAGTCTAGGTTTGATCCAGTGAACAGCCAAAAAATGAGGGACAAAATAACTTGTCCTAGGAAGATTAATCAGACTACATAGGCCATAGGAAATAAACAGGGAAACACACTCAAATGTTAAGAATTAAGGAAGGCATTAAGCACCTTGATGGGGAAAGTTAAAAGGAGTTTACTGACCATGCTGATGAAAAGGAAAAGACAGTAGAAAATCACTTCAAACTTCATGTGTTATTCACTCCACTGTAAAAAATACAGATGCACAATTAGTGCACACCCATTGAGCTGGAATTTCTAAGGGTGGTAGCAGGTGTGTTTTCTAAAGGCTCTGCAAGCTCACCATAGAGAACCACGAGCCTACAGAGCATGGCGGACAGATTCTGGGCTCACTGCCTTTCAGTCAGCTTTTTTGTACTTCTGTGTCAATCAGTAGGTTTGCACATTGTTGAGAGATGTCATGATACACACAGAAGAAAGTAACAGCTAACAATAAACTGACACTTATGAACAGTGGAAGGCCTAACTGTGGTTCTGACTGTAAGAACAAGAATTCAGTGGAGGAGGGAGAGGACTGTGGGCTGGAACAAAAGCTGGAGAGGCCTTCTAGAGGAACTGGGACACAGCCCAGACCTTAGGGATGCATCACAACCAAAGGCAGGTGGACCAATGAGCTGGTTGAATTGGACAAAGCCTTGTGTAGCATAGTTCTGAGGAGCAGAGTGTGAGCACCACATTTAGAGAGCAGAGGTTAGGTGGCTTCCCAGCCTCCCTCCACATTGCTCCTCTGTGCAAGGCTGGTGAGCTTCATTAAGGCCACAGGACAAGCACATTTTACCTTTACTTTTCCCATCTCTCCCACTCATATCTGGCCTTCTTCAACCACATAACAGCTTTTGTTTTCTCACACTTTGTGAATGCACATTAAATTCATTCACACTAACATATAAATGACACATAGTCCCTTATGTTATTCTGGCATATTAATAAGACTTTGTATAGTGAGGTGGCTTGTGGAAACCTCATTTCATTCTCACTTATGGAGTGGGGAGGTCTGAGATAACCCCCATTTTATAGATGGGGAAAGAAAGGCCCGGAGAATCTCAGTGGCCACCTCAAAATCACAGAGCTACTAAGTGGAGAATTTACCTGGAGGACTTGGGCACAGTTTTCTCTCTGCCACCCTGTTCTGCGTCTTGCTGCAGTATTTTTATTTCAATGGGATGAGAGCCCTGTGCTAAGGGCATATGACTTTCGGCATCAACCTGGAAATAGGAGAAAGATTCTTTCAGTGAAGCCCTAAGTCACCCTACATAAGTTGTGTCTTCACCTTCACATTACCTGCTAATTGTGTGATCACCAGCTAGTTAGAGAAAATGATCTGAGCTTCGCTTTACCCATCCATAAAATGGGAACAATATATCTGCTTCATGGGGTTTTTCTGAGAATTTCCTAAAATACCGCCTGTACAATATTTTTGACACATAGCAGCCCTCAGTAAACCTCATTTCTCATGTCCCTTCTCTTCCCCATTACACCCACATGCAAGGCAAGCCATGGCAAGTCAGAACCACAGACTCACCCAGACCCTGCAAATACACTTACTGCCCCCTCTTTGCTCTTGCCTTTAGTCCTTTCTCTCTCCCCTCAGTCCCTGTGTGTGGCCACGCCAGCCTCCCTTCACTTCTCAAAGTAGTCGAGCATCTCCCTCCCCAGTACTTGTGTAAACACTGGTCCCTCTGCCTGAGACCCACTTTGCCCACCTCCGCCACCCAACTCTTCATGTTCCAGGTGTCAGTCAGCCCGCACCACTTCTTCAGGAAGGACTGAAGTGGGCTCCTCCTGTCTCACCGCCTCCTGTCACTTTCATTGTTATTACAGTTTGTAAGTTCTTGTAAATTCTATGCTTATTAGTTTAATTCTTTTTTCTCCACTAGACTACAGATTGCCATGTTACATCATACCCAGTACAAAATCTAGTACATGGGCATGTTCCATAAATATTTTTTAGCTGTGTGTTGGATGAATTCTACTTTTATCTCTCTGCTTTGGGATGCCCTTCTATAGCCCACTCACCAAGCTATGCAATACATTTCACACACACACACACACAAAAATGGGGTTTGTCTCTATTTCCTTCATTTTGTTTCCCCCACATATATTCATACATTATCATGAATTAGGTTGCATCCTCCAGTTGTTTCATGCTTCTCTAATCACATTATTGGTTTTTCAAGGCTAAAATTCCTTCAAGATCTTTTTCTGAATCCCCTGTAAACTGAATATAATAGCAAGAAATGCTCTTGGTACCTAGAAATTTCTTGATGAATGAATGAAAAGATTGATCAGTTGATTCTAGTACACCCCTAGTACAGAGAAAATCTTCACATAGCAAATATGGAGATATCACTGCAGCAAAACAATTGCTAACCATGATCCATTGCTGTAGTTCTTCTTCTTGGGTTACTGTTTGAGTTCAATAAAAATAAAACCTTATCTTGAAAGGGGGATTAGATTTATTTTTTTAATAAGAAAGCCTGAATGGGAAGCTTGCATTTCCCCCTAAATTTAATAATAGCACTTACACTTTTCAGCTGGCCTTATTTCAGGTGAGAGCATGAAGCTTCCAGGTAAGCTTCTGTCATGATATAAGAGCAAGAGCCCTATCACCAAACCTACCCAAAGGAGGGGTCAAATAGCAGGGGCCTCTGTCTAGTCTGAGCATGTTTTCAGAATCAGCCAGTCCAATTCAGTACTGGGCAGAGAATGTGAAGGGAAACATCAGGTTACTTGGAGACACAGTTTTGATAATTATCCTGGTAACCTCCATGAGTAAAGTAACAGCTTTTGATCTTGCCCTCTTCCTTCACTCACAACTACAACAAAACAAAAAGCATATAAGTAAAATGTTACGCCCAAAATGATAACTTACTAAACTGGAATATTTCACTTTCTACATTTGTCTTGTTACTCCGAAGCAGAAACTTCAGTTTACTGGTTGCCTTGCTGGTAAACCTGCTTTTATCAGTATTTTTGAATGATTAATAAAAAAATTATAGATATATATGTGCACACATACATATTTAACATATGTTATAAAGTATGTATTTTATTTACTTTGACAATTGCCTAGCCACAGGGGTGTCCAACCTGTGGCCCCCCAGGTTGCATATGGCCCAGGATGGCTATGAATGTGGCCTAACAGAAAGTTGGAAATTTCCTTAAAATATTTTTTGTGCTCATCACTTTTCATTACTGCTTGTGTATTTAATGTGTGGCCCAAGACAACTCTTCCTCTTCCAGTGTGTCCCAGAGATGCCAAAAAGGATTTGGATACCCTTGGTAGCAGGTTCTGTCTAGTTAGTATCTTTGCCCTGGTTTAGTATTTGATCTTATAACACAGGTCAGCAGAAGGAAACCTAGTTTTGCTAAATACCCATTACCCCATGAACATTGTAAAGACTGGTATGAGGTCTGTTCTTCCAGCGACATCACTTAACCTCCCATATACCCACCCCTGCTGGGCTTTGTAACAATTGACAGAGCCTTTAAAAGATGACTGCTGATGAGTTCCCTTCTATCCCGTCTCTCAGGCTGCAGAAGTCCTGAAGGTTGATGGAGGGCCATGCTATTCAAACAGCAGGCGTGGCTGAGACAGAAGCTCCTGGTGCTGGGAAGCCTTGCTGTTGGGAGTCTCCTGTATCTAGTTGCCAGAGTTGGGAGCTTGGATAGGTAGGTGGTTAAACACATACTTGTGTTCATGTGACTTTAAGTGTTTCCCTTTTAAAAAATATATTTTATTGATTATGCTATTACAGTTGTCCCATTTTCCCTCCTTCACTCCCCTCCACCCTGCACACCCCCTCCCACCCAGATTTGCCCCCTTAACTCATGTCCATGGGTTGTACATATAAGTTCCTTGGCTTCTACATTTCCCATACTATTCTTAACCTCCCCCTGTCTATTTTCTGCCTACCATCTATGCTACGTATTCTCTGTACTTTTCCCCCCTTTCTCCCCTTCCCACTCCCCTGTTGCTAACCCTCCATGTAATCTCCATTTCTGTGGTTCTGTTCCTGTTCCAGTTGTTTGCTTAGTTTGCTTTTGTTTTTGTTTTAGGTGTGGTTGTTAATAATTATGAGTTTGCTGTCCTTTTACTATACATGTTTTTTATCTTCTTTTTCTTAGATAAATCCCTTTAACATTTCATTATAATAAGAGTTTGGTGATGATGAACTCCTTTAACTTGACCTTATCTGGGAAGCACTTTATCTGCCCTTCCATTCTAAATGATAGCTTTGCTGAATAGAGTAATCTTGGATGTAGATCCTTGCCTTTCATGATTTGGAATACTTCTTTTTAGCCCCTTCTTGCCTGTAAGGTTTCTTTTGAGAAATCAGCTGATAGTCTTATGGGAACTCCTTTGTAGATAACTGTCTCCTTTTTTCTTGCTGCTTCTAGGGTTCTCTTCTTAATTTTAATCTTGGGTAATGTTTTTTAACTGAAACTTCCTTAGAGTATAATTTTAGATCCACTCCTTTTGTTTTCCTCCTTCAAAATTCCCAAGAAACATGCTTTTCTGCAGTATTGATTTTGATTTATTGAGCCTTTAAAAGAAAGAGATCCAAGTTGCTCAAACCAAGGAATTTGCCAGGATCCATTTGTATTCTGTGTGCATTGACATTCATTTTCAGAGACAGGATAAAGCCATACACAGTAGAAATGCCACTTTCTAGAGCTCACTGTGGTCTGTGTGCATCTGGTTGTTGAAACTCTGTCCATGTGAAATAGCTATGATGTATTTAGTTATGAAACTAAATTATGAAATTTATGAGTGAACAATTAATGGCCTACCAGGAGAGTTAAAATTATATTTGAACCTATAAAGGAGCTCATCAAGTGTGGGATCCACCACCCTGGAAAGATGGTTGCAGGCTTGGGGTGCTGTAACTGTGTTAATTAGTGCTGGTTTCCAGGAGCTGAACGTATCAGACAAGAAGACTGTCGCTCACAGTAATTGCCCAGAAACCAATGTCAAATCCATGGAGAGGATATTTACAGAGCCAGGCGTTGGCTCTAAACAAGCAAATGGTTGAGAGGTGCTAGACCTGTAGAAGTCCCAGCAGTGTCTGTCCTCTGGCTTCACGGTGAATACCTCTGGGCTGTCCCATATCCAATATGATTGTGAAAGACAGGGAATTGAATTTCTAAAATGTAAACCTTCCTTCTTTGCTCTTTAAAATTCCTTATTGCACTGGAAACACTGGAGTATGTTCTTATGCATTCGCTTCCCATTTTCCACAAAAATGCAGCCACACTTTAAAATGAAAATATCTTCCTTGTTGTTTTTCTTTTCTAATCTATAAATCTTATCACTCAGATACTTAACAAATAATATAGCAGTGGTCTTTATTTTCCTTCAGCCAGTGTCAATTTTGACTGGTAAAAAAGCCCTTTTGATGTTTTTTAGTTCAAAGTTCCTGAGCAAACTTCACACTCACTAGTTGCTAACTATCGGAAATGGTATAATCCAGAGTTTATCACTGACTTCAAGTAGTTACCTAAAAGTAGTGTTTGGTTATTAGTGAAAAGCCTTGAGGTGGTTCCACTGTCCTGCTTATAAAGAACTTTTACATCAAGTTTTTCCCAATGCCTTTAGTTCACGTTCAGTCATTTGCTTTTGATTGAATAATTGATCTAATGATCATTAATGCATTAGTTATTTGGCTGATTCTTTTCATTTTTCACCTAGTCTACAGCCTCAAATTTGATTGTTTGCTGGACTTTCTCAAAAGTTCTCAACTGAGGGTTTGAGCAGATTGAATCTGAAATGGACAAATGCTGACTTAGGAACTGAAGACCCTGCTCTCTGGTTCGGAAGCTGAGCTCAGTTACTTTTACTGTCCCTTCCAATCCTAAGAGTCCATATTGTTTAGTCTGAGGCCCATGCTCAAAATGTACTCTTCAAGAAGGCAAAATAAGGTGATGTTTTCTCCCATCTTGAGTTGGGGAGTCCAAAAAGCAATTGTTCTGCAGGCTATGAGCTCCCAAGGTAGCAGGTAGAAAAAGGAAGGAAGACAAGAAGGAAAATGCCCCTTTCCAGAAGTAAGGAAATTCCTTTCCAGCTCAATTAGGGCAGAGACTGTCTGTCTCAGCCCCTGTCAGCCAGGGTTCTTCGAGAGAATTCAGCCCTACAGAAAGCATTTGATGGACTACTTCCTCAATTTTTGCAAGGACAACAGACATTAGCATCATTCTAGATGTGTAGGAGAGAAGTCATCCATTACATGCAATGGATATCTTAAGAAACTACAGCTTAATTCTCAAACAAGAAGAGCTAAAACATGAATTTGTGATATCACAATGTCACAACTAAAGGCATCTTTGACTATGTATGTGTTGCTACTTTCAAATCTTTCATTTAGCACTCCAGCACTAATCTTGTTAACAAATTCATCAAAACAAAAGTTACATTTCTCTAAATATTAACTGTGGTAAACACTTTTTTATAGTATTCTATATTTTCATGTTTTCCACAAAGAACATGAGTTGTTTTTAAAATCATAAAAAACAAGCACCACAAAAAAGTAAAATGTTTATATATTTTTGCTTACGCATTAGGAAAGACAGCAGTTGAAACAGAGCACAGGCCAAGTTCTTTTCTTTTCAGTTCTGCAGAATGCCTTTGCATGACCTTGAGGTTTTTCTCTTCTCCCATTAATTATAAACATTACAGAAGATAAGAAAGGTATGATAGAATGTCTTGGGAAAAAGCAAAAGAGAGGCTCACTGTCACAAAAAGGGGGACATAGACTCAAAATTATTAGGGTAACTAGGAGGTAGGGTAACTAGGGTAAACCAAATTGTTAAACCAAGGACTTGGTTTAACATCCATTTTGGCAAATAGTCTACCCTCTCCCAAAATGGCTAAAATGTGTTCTCAGGTAAACTTAGGGAAATTATAATGAATTTCAGTTCAGTTCTAGACTATACCCAAAAGGAAACTCTAAATATAGAGTTTTCTCTATACTTAGTACTATCCTAAGTACAATATACTGCATACTAATCTTGCCAAATTAAACAGTCACTCCAGTCCAATATCGTTGTGATTATTACCACACCTTTTTCTCTGAGAAAAGCAGTGAAAACAATGGTTGTTCATTGTTTAAGACAAGGTTGAAGTGGAAACCCTCCTTTTTGGCTCCATGTATTACATCCCTTCCTTCATGAGCTCAAGTCCCTGATTTAAATGGACTTGGCAATGAGAACCTGAGGCTTCTGGCCCTGCCAAGGTCTTGTTGATCCCCAGTCCCAGCTGTGGTAAGTGATATACAGCACTTGCTGATGGTATTGGGTTGTTCCTACATTCAGCCAAATAAAAACATAATCCTGACCTCTTTATATAGAAAAACAGAGGCAGGAAAAAAAAGAGAAAGGCAGAAGAAATATAGTACTCTTAGCTATCCCTAAGGCCAACGGCAGAAATTCTCACAGAATGAAAAGCTCAGCAAGTGCCAATTTTGGAATTTTCCAGGTTGATGATGATGCAAATAGCTAAGGGCAGAGACTGGGAGCTCTTTTCAGATTGTACAATATCTCAAAAAATTTTAAGTGTTATGTGAGTGCTGCTGAGCTGCAAGGAAATCGTACTACACAAAACCCAAAAGACTGGCCTCTTAGCTGCCCTTCAGTCTCCCAGCTAAAGATTATAATCTTCTACCTTTTATGTTCTCTCAATGATATTAACTGGTGAGCTATTAAAAGGCTATTAGTATGGCTGGTGTCACTTGTCTGTCCTGTACAGTGTGAACGTAAGTACATGCCGTAGTCAATTAAGTGCTTGGTGAATAAAAATTTTAAGGAGCACTAATAAAAAAATCCCATCAATTATGTCTGGTCCATTTAATACAGTGCTGCTTAAAATAAAATTTCTCAAACATATGTTCATTATGGATTGCATCAGGTTGGGAAATAGTGGTTTTATTTATGCATTTAAAGTCTCACTCTGACTGGGGAACCAGAAAAAATGAGAAGTTAGGTGCAATGAGCTTCTTAAAGTTTCTCTCTGTTGCTTGCAGGCTACAACCCATTTGCCCCATTGAAGGCCGATTGGGAGCCCGTGGGCAGGCGGAATTTCCTCTGCGTGCCCTGCAGTTTAAACGAGGCCTGTTGCATGAGTTCCGGAAGGGCAACGCTTCCAAGGAGCAGGTTCGCCTTCATGACCTGGTCCAGCAACTCCCCAAGGCCATTATCATTGGGGTGAGGAAAGGAGGCACAAGGGCCCTGCTTGAGATGCTGAACCTCCATCCAGCAGTGGTCAAAGCCTCTCAAGAAATCCACTTTTTTGACAATGATGAGAATTATGCCAAGGGCATTGAGTGGTATAGGAAGAAGATGCCTTTTTCCTACCCTCAGCAAATCACAATTGAAAAGAGCCCAGCATATTTTATCACAGAGGAGGTTCCAGAAAGGATTTACAAAATGAACTCATCTATCAAGTTGCTGATAATTGTCAGGGAGCCAACCACAAGAGCTATTTCTGATTACACTCAGGTGCTAGAGGGGAAGGAGAGGAAGAATAAAACTTATTACAAGTTTGAGAAGCTGGCAATAGACCCTAATACCTGTGAAGTGAACACAAAATACAAGGCAGTAAGAACCAGCATCTACACCAAACACTTGGAAAGGTGGTTGAAATACTTTCCAATTGAGCAATTTCATATTGTCGATGGAGATCGCCTCATCATGGAACCTCTGCCAGAACTCCAGCTCGTGGAGAAGTTCCTAAATCTTCCCCCAAGAATAAGTCAATACAATTTGTATTTCAATGCTACCAGAGGGTTTTACTGCTTGCGATTTAACATTATCTTTAATAAGTGCCTGGCTGGCAGCAAGGGGCGCATTCATCCAGAGGTGGACCCCTCTGTCATTACCAAATTGCGCAAATTCTTTCATCCTTTCAATCAAAAATTTTACCAGATCACTGGGAGGACACTGAACTGGCCCTAAAATAATGTCATACAACACCATGTGTTGTGCCTGAAGACACTCAATGTCTCCTCTAGATTAAGATATGCACTTTTCCAAGCCACAACTACCCAAGTCATTTTTCCATCTCTACTTGTACATAGGCAGTATGTGACCAAATATAGGAACAGCTCTTTTTCTACTGAAAATTTACAAAAGTAATTTGCCGTCTGCATAGTTGCATCTTTTAAACTTGTTACTAAATGAAGAGGTGGTGATATTGGGGGAAAGTGACTTCAGCTGTTCTCAAAGAGTTAGTCTTCCCTTGAGTCAGAAGTTGTCACCCGCCATTTTCATTAATTTAAGCCAAAAGATTAATGTATAAAATGTACCAATGGCTGTGAAGCTGCAGGAAGTAGAGGATTCAGTTATGCATTCTTTTCTAAGGGAAAGATGGCTCTCTAATTCAGATGCTGAATTGGTGCCATGAAAACAGAAAATGCTATTTTCTTATGATTTAAAAGAATGTCTTATCTCATAAAATTGGCATTGTTCCAAAGTCCCTGTGGTGATTTTGCACTATTGTTTTTCGTCTGGACCATGGTGTCACTTGTAGCAGGTCATACATTGGAAAGTCGAGTCCTTTTACTTCCATGTTTTATGTCAACAAAGAAAAATGTCATGTACATAATGTATTTAATTGTAAATACTGGTTTCACACTAAGTAATTCTATTTTGTAAACTAAATATGGCTATTTAATTTATTGTGAAAATTAAATTTATTGTGGTATTTAAAAATGGAATGGATTAAAATTACCCTATGTGCACCATTTTTTTTAACTCATTTTGTTTTACATGCTCCTTGCTGGCTCCCAACCTCAAAGCTGTCTATGTGCGTGTTGAGAGCACCTGGGAATGTGCACTTCTCCACTGGATTTCTGAACCCTCGAGAAAATGTATTTATGAAGTGAGGTTGAATATATTTTTAAAAATCTCAACTATCTGGAAAGCTAGTGTAACAGCCTCCTCAAAGAACACTAATGCTGGTCTGCTGCAACTTTATAAAAGTTAATTTCCTTGCAGTTGCTGCTGTGCTAGGAGAAAAACAAGAAATACTTTAACATAATCAATGCATAGAGAATCACAATTCTATCTCAGCCTCTAATAAGAGTCAGACCAGTACAGAAATTGAGTGAAATAAGATTAGAAAACTTGTGTGGCCTCTGCACTGAAAGCTGCTGATGCTTCAGAAATGAATACAAACTCTCAGAACTCCCTCTTTGAGATGAAAATATTATCAGTGTTCTCGGCAATGATCGAATTGCATCGTGTTGTTATTACTAACACAAACATTTGGCTCATATTTCCATCCAGAGAAATTAATGCTAAATTGGGTGCTTGCTAGCATCAAATACATTATATTACGTTTAAATATGATTCAGAAAACCATGGAAAGAGGTGTCAGGAAAAAAAAAAAGATGGATTTTTCCCCAATCACAATTGCTTACCCAGCGGAAGACACTTGAGAGAGTTTAGTCCAGCATCACATTGAGAGTGCCTAGAGAAATCAGCAAGTTAAAATGGATGCCTTTTTGATTGTAATACGTGTTGATTTTCTCCGTGAGTTGTTTATCCTGTCCAGTGATTTGATGGTGAACTTTTAAAAATAAATAGCCCTTTCCCCTCCAGTGTCAGTATGTATTGCTTCTGAAGCCACAGCCTTGGTAATCATCTTCTCTGTTTCAATTAGCAGTGCCGCTGTTCTTTCAGCACAGAGCAAGCCTGACACCCGCGACACTGGCAGGCCGGCTTCTCGCTCCCTGGGTGAGGCTCTGGAGAGTCTTGGGTCTAAATGTCAATCACATCCCTCTTATGCCATGAATGGAATCAAATATAAGGAATTTGTCATCAGATTTCCCCGTGCTTCAACTCTCAGCTAATCACCAGCGGAAACTCTTTGAATACTACATTCAATGATATGACCACAGATTATTATTTTATTATAACTACTCCTAGAACACTATAGAGATAATAAGTTTTAAACTAGTTACTGTCAAATTATGTCCCAATGGAATATGGATGTATCAAAAACTCATCCTAGGTATTCCACCAGTAAAATTGAAAAATGGGCAATCTTTTACAAGACTCACAGAGAAATTTAAAGAACAATGAATAGAAGTTTCTCAGGCATAATCTTTTATATTCTCAATTTTTCTTAAACTTTACTATTGCTACCAAAAGTGTATGTCAGAGTATATTCTAACATTCTATTTGACTTTTGCAGACTTTTATAATTTGTTATTTTTAGCTCAATAAGCCAGCATTTCTTCCTCACATTCAGAAAAAGCACCATAATTTCCAGTTATTCCACTTCCTAAAGAAGTTTGAGAATTGTTTTAAAGCTTGGAGCCTCCCCACAGAGACCAAAAACAGGGAGTCTAGCCCTGGAGGATGGTTTGAGAGGCAGGTTTCATTTCACTGAAAAAACAAACATAAACAAAAACTATAGCCACTGCTGATTGAGCTAGGTAGAGAGAAATAAAAATTCTATGACTTAATAGCATACTTCCACTGGAGGTTTCAAATCTCCTTGCTTAGAAAAATGTTTCCTGTTGTCACCAGACAGGGAACAGAACTCTAGAGAAATCTTCGGCTCATTACCATATCCCCACTAGGGTTCTCTTTAATAAGTTATTCCTTTTACATCATGAAAACCTTTTATTCCTTCCAGAGGCTTGGTGGTACCATATGGCTTTGTGAAACAGTTCTAGCTGCAAAGAGGAAAAAACTGTTTAAGCTATGGTGAAGTTTCTGCTGGACCATAAAACTGAAATTACACCATTTCAGAAGCCAAGGAATTTCAACTATTCAAACCAGAACTAGAGTCTCATGTGCATCAGAGACACTAGGGAACAGAGACACACAAACCAATAGACCAGCCATTCCAGGTTCCAAGTCTGTCACCTACTCACCTGAAATCACACAAACTCTCAACTGATTAAAGCAGTAACTTTTCCTACTAATTGCCTTGTAGTATAGGAAAAATCTAAGATATTAGAGTCCTTAGCTAATGTATGATATATCATAGGCAGGTAAACCTCCCATAATCACACCTAATCAGAGATTTGGTACCTTTCATGTTGATGGACCAGCAAGAACAGACCCACTAAAGCTGATGAAGTTTAATGAGAGCACTACTTGGGGTGCCACATCCAGTACAGGGGTCCTACTGGAAGACAAGCTCGAGAACCTGTGGGGAGCATTACCTGGGACACTGGAGGTGTACTGCAGCTACAGGAATGTGGGTACCAAGAACAAGTGCCGTCCAAATTCCAGCCTTGACAATAAGTTTTTGCTTTGTCCAATTAGCAATTTGCTAAATAGGAATGCCTTCCTAAGCCTAACTTGAGAATTTTCCATGGGTGGAAAATTTCAAATGACTATAAATAGTGTCTTCTGCTAAAGTTTTTTGTACTCTTTCCGCATACTCAGCAGCCATTTTCTACTTAGGAGAATAGGCTACAGTCTAAGCAAAAAAAGAAAACTTTGCTGAAAACATTCTCCCTAAAAATGACTAAATATAGCAAAATCTTAGCAACTTGGACTAACAATGTGAAAATATAGAATATTTTAAAAGCAAATGCATTGCTATTATTCTCTACTAGACAAAGTGCCAAACTATATAAACAATATATTGAAAAACATCTAATTGTACCTATTTTACTAAATAAAAACCTCTTAATTGGTATTTTTCCAAATTGGTGTTACTCAACTATTTCATTAATGGTCTGTCCTCTTAAGAAGGTTATTCATGGCCCCTAGTATCTGTTTACCGATTTTTATAGGTAGTGCAAAGATGAAATTTAGGCCAAAATATGATCATTTGGTGAGGTTCTAATAAATGGTACCTTTCATCTCACAAAAATAATTTCTTTACATTGTGCACTTTTAAAGATGTATTTCCAATTACATTTGATTGTATCTTTAAGGAATAAGATTGCCATTTCATAATGATTAGAGATGGATTGAGGAGTTGAAAAGGCAGCCAAAACTGATAACAATATATATTTCCTATAGAAAGTCCCTGATTGGTATTCTGAGAACAAGTGTCTGTTATGAAGGCAGCTCAGTTGAAAGCAATACCCTTTCAGTCACATCAAATAGGCAGCAGCATGCCTTCCTGCTGTCTTATCGGGCTAGTTCCATCACTTCTGAATTTGTGAACCGTAACAGTCTCCACGTCTTGGGGGGCCGTTGGTAAAAGGATCTATTGTTTCTAAACATACACGTCAGCCATCCCCCTTTAGAAGTGGTACACTGAGAGGGTGAGTTGTGCCCACCAGATAGGGAACATCATTTCAAGGAGCTGGCTTGCCTTTGGCTCACCCCTAACATCTCTAAATGCACACAACTCTGCTTTGCATTTCCTTTCCTTTAATGACACCAGAGAAGAATCTTTAAGGCAAACTGCAGAAGTGCCTTGTTTCTTTAGTAAGGCTGCACCAAAATTCACCGGAAGGTTTGAACATAGAGTATAAAAGAACTTGTCATTGCTGCATGTCAGATCATCTAACACTAGGTCCTGAAGATAAATTTAATACAAACTCTTTAAGTATAAGAACTTCTGGCAACACCAGATAACAATGTCACCACACTCAACAGAATTAAGAATATAAATGGGTGAGTCAAACTTCAGAAGTCAGAGGAGGGAATAACCAACTCAGCCTGGAGAGATCAGAAGGAAGCAGAAGAAGATCATTGCACCTCACAGAAAAGTAGAATGCACTCCAGGATAAGGGAGACGGAACAAAAGAGTGAGGTGTGAATGAGACTGGGAAGTCCAGCAAAGCTGGACAGTAGAGCATACATAAGTGAAGATGAAAGCTAAGAATGGAAACCCTGCTGAAGCTTCTCAGGCCCTACTTGTTGAAATACTCCACCACTCAGGGCAAAGGGACCCAAGGCCAGGCCTGCCTCCTTGTGTCTGCTCCCAACTGACCCTTAGAAGCTAAAGGTTTAAGAATGGAGACAAAATGATGAAATTATTCCAAAAGTTTTCTTACAATCAGTGCCCACAGAATTATAGTTTTCCTTCCCACCCTTGTTTACTCTTTGAATCTCTGACTTCTCTTCCTGGCCAGCAGCTTTTCAGCAGCTGGACTGCGGCAAAGGTATCTTTTCAAAGCCAGCTCTCTGAGTATGCAGACCATGGAAGAGTTACATTGTCCTTCTGCCACAGAGGGTCTCACTGTAGGTTTACTCATCCTAAACTATTTCAGGAGACATGGGAACAAGAAGAAAACCAAACACAACATTCTCCCACAAGTAAGGAATAATAATAGTGTTTTCAGAAATGTGCAGGGAATCTATTTGTTTCATTGAAAACAAAGAATATGCAAACTAAATTTGGGGGGTAGAATGGACAAGTCAATGCATGTCTATGGGCTTGAGCTTCCTAGTAAATAAAATAGGAGAATCAGAATAAGGGATGTTTAAGATCTTTTAATAGGATGTTGAATCGGTAGGTGAAAGTGATTCTTGGAGCATTCCTTGTGATATTAATCATCACAGAATTGGGGGTCTGAAGGTGGAGGAGTAAGGGGGGATCAGACTCAATGTAATCTGCTGTTCTTGTGCATAGGATCACTGCAAAAAGCTTTGTGTCTATGGTTTTGTGTATAGGAGATATTCTTTGTCACCATTGCCTTACAACTCACCATCCCTCAATTCTACTTTATCCTCCACTTTGGCTTCCACCTACTCCCTTCTGAGTTAATTAACTTTTACCATGTAACACACCACCCACAAACATCTTCTTTAGCTCAGGTTTCTGTTGTTCATCTGGGCAGTTCTCTGGTCTGGCCCAACTTGGATCCACTCTGCTGGCCTCCCTCATGCTCCTGTGGTTTCTGGCCAATCAATTGGTATCTGGGTAATCTAAGGTGCCCTTTCTTAAATGTCATGGGGCTTGTGCTGTTACTTGGTTGGTGCCACTTGCCAACGATGCTGGATGTTAGCTGTGTGATAACAGTTTGTGGTCCATGTGTGTCACATCATTTAGTAGACTCATCTGGGCTTCTTCAGATGGTAAACAGGTTTAAAGAGTAGCAAAAGAGGGCAAACACCAATGTGCAAGCACTTTTCAACCATCTTCTTGCATTATGTTTGTAATTTCCCATTGGCCAAAGAATGTCACATGGCCAAGCCTACAGCCCATATGAGAAGGGATTGCATAAAAGTGTGAATACTGACAAGGAAATTATTATGGCCATTTTTGCAAATAATCTACCCTATCTCTCAGCCTTGATTCTATCATGATGAAAATTATAATTATGGTAATTACCCACTAAACAACTTTATTTTCCACAATTCCTAAACATAATGATAATAAGAAGGGTGGTTAGCAGAATAATGCCCTCCTCAAAGATATTTACATTGATCTCAGGAATCCATGCAGACATTGGTTCATATAGCAAAAGGGACTTTGCACATGTGATGAAGTAAAGCATTTGAAATGGGAGAGTTTCCTGGACTACTTGGATGGCCCCAATATAACCACAAGGGTTTTTAAAGGTAGAAGAGATCAGGCAGAGGGATATTGGTAATGGAGGAGTGGGCCGAGTTTGGGAACCTTCAGAGAGATGTCTCATTGCTAACTTTGAAGATGCAAGGAGAG